GTCATATTCTAAACTATGACCTATTCACTTATATATTATAGGGGAGCTGGGACCTATCTGTAACAGGGGTAATTAGTAATAGACGTTTTTCAATAGCGTTTTAAACGATATATATTAATAATTTTTTTCCAAACCAAAACTGACTACTGCTGAGTAGCATTCTAAAATCTTGTATTTCCACATGAAATGCGTTTTACAATATGGAATAAAATTAAAAATAGTATTTTAAATATTGCCATTGTAATCAAATCATAGAAAAAGGATAACTTTTGTCCTAAGAAAATCTTAAAACAAGATTTGAGATATAAAGAAAATGGAGCATCAAATCAAGAATATATATATAAATATATATATATATATATATATATATATATATATATATATATATATATATTAATATCTTCATCTGGTCAAAGGTAATACAATGTAAAAAAATCTAGCAAAAAAAAGTTATTCTTCTGATTTAAGATGTTAAGATAAATCTGCAGTTGCAATTTGTTGTCGATTTAATCTCTAAGGTTGCAAAATGATCTTGAATAGTACATAATAGTATTTAAAAACAATTAAGACGATATTTTTTATTACTTCATCTGCTTTGAAGGTTATCTAAAATTATGAAGAAAAAATTATACTACAGATGCAAGAAAATATGAATTATTACAAAAGCATTTTACAGATTTTCCAAATATTTCTTCGACTATTTTCTGAGCAGATTATATGAAATTTTAAATAGTCACTAACACGCAAATATAATGTCTCGTTAATGTCTATAAATTGTGTATTTTACACATTAATGTTAATTCTTCCAACTGTATAGAAAGTGAATACAATAAGTTACGAGTCCTTGATTCAAATGCTCATTGGGTTATGACCGCGACTTATGGTTCATGACGTCTACATTTAGTCGTAGAATTCAGAAAAATATATAAAATAAATATTAATATATTTAAACATGTATATTATATTTAGGGTGATATTTTAATTTTGAATTTTTAAACCTATTTTGAGCTTTACCGCATAAAATGCAATTTGTTCTGGTGGTGTTTTGTATTGCACAATAAGGTGAAGACATGTTTTGCTTTTTTGAAACTGATTACAAAAAAAAATATATAAAATTATTTTAAAAAAATTGATAGACTAATGACATACGAAATGATCAAAATGATAAAAAAACTTAACCGAAATCATTACTGCACCTTCCTGATGTGCATTCATAACACATACGTGAAGTTAGGTTTTACGTGTAAAACACCTGATTGCTCAGCAAATACATAGCATTGTGACAGTTTTCACTAGTAATTAAAACTTTGAATTAGAAATAGTAATTAAAAAAAAATTTTTTATTATTATTCAAAAATGTGTGATAAAAATTGAAATGATTCTTATATGACTTAATCCTATTTCAAGTTTTTAGTGAGAATCTTATAAGTATACTGGTAATTCATCAATTGTAGCAAAATCTTAGATGTAGATAAATGACAAGTGTATATATATACAAAATACTGTCACTTAATTGCATCAGTTTCAACCTTACTTTCAATCAAATCAATAACTTTTACAATATTATTTTTTGTGTCGAAATTTGAATTGAATTAACAACAATAACACTTCTGGCAAAGCTTATATTGTTTACTCTTGTTATTTTAAAAAATATTTTTTTTAAATTACTAGTATTTGTTAAAATATTAAAAAAATCTATGAGGCAACACAAATATGGTAAGCAAATTAATATATTTGTGTAACTTTTGTTATTTTAAAAAATAAATAATTAAGTGGACGGATATAATTTGGTGGCATTATGTAATAAGTAAATTATAAATTAAAAATAAAAGTAAATGTATAGAAGTTAATAACTGGTAAAAATACACAAAGAAATTAATTAAGAATTGCCGAATGAAATTATGCAAGTAAATAAATAAAAGAATGATGAATAAAAACACTAGAAATAAATTAATAGTGTAAATAATTTATTTGTATGTTTATATATTATATATTATATATAGAATTGCCGAATAAAATTATGCAAGTAAATAAATAAAAGAATGATGAATAAAAACACTAGAAATAAATTAATAGTGTAAATAATTTATTTGTATGTTTATATATATATATATATATATATATATATATATATATGATTTAGTAGTTAATTTTGATGTTGAAATATATGAGTGAGTTCTTGAGGGCGATACATCAAACAAAGAAAAGCCAAAGATTTATAAAATAATCTTTATTTCCAAACGTTTCGACATTCAATTTAATGTCATCATCAGTGGATCTAAAAACAGTATGAAAATTAGCATATCTAGGTAATTATAATATATGTGGATTGGTAAAGTAACTATACAATAAGAGAAAAATTAACAAACAGCAACACTTAACAACAAACCAAATATAAAAGATAGGAAAGGTAGTAGAGACTAGAATTAAATAAATAATTAAAAAGTATAGGCAAAAATATTTAAGTACACTCATATAAACCTACGCATATATACATATATATACATACAACATATACACACATATACATATATATATATATACATATATACTCGTATATATATATATACATGCATATATCCATATACACACACATATAAACATATAATACACATATACATATACAGATACAACAATATATACCTATATATGTACACATATACATGTAAGACTATACCCATATAAATAAACGTATATACATATATGCAACGTGCATGCATATTCACAACGACGTACATGTACATGTATGAACCATACATATACTCATACCTATCTATGTAACTATAGCTATACACGTATACACATACATATACGCATAAACATGTATATATACATATATACACACATATATATATACATATATATACATACATATATATATATATATACACACAATACATATATATACATATGTACATAAATGCTCACAAATATATATATATATATATATATATATATATATATACATATATATATACATATACATATACATATATATATATACACATACATACATGCATATATACGTATATACAATTATATGTATACACATATACATATGCACATACATACAAACATACATGTAAATAAGTAATATACATATATATACATACATACGAGGTCTGTTCAAAAAGTACCCGGAATTTTCGTTTTTTCAAAAAAATATTTATTTATTCGTCTACATTAATGTGCTCCCCTTCAAAGTAGTCCCCCCCAGATATAATACACTTATGCCAGCGTTTTTTCCAATTTTCGAAGCACCCTTGATATTCACTTTTTGATATGTCCTTGAGCACTCTCAGCGATTTTCTTCAATCGAGGTAAACCGCCGTCCTTTCATGGGTCTCTTCAACTTTGGGAATAGGAAAAAGTCACACGGAGCCATATCTGGTGAATTTTTGCTCTTTGCAACACTTTATTTCATTTTTTACGCAAAATTTAATACAAATTCTTTGACTTTTCAATTCTTCCATTGTAAAAATCGCCGAGCTCAGAAAAACACGTCGAACCTTAGCGACTACCACAGACAAAGTAAACAGTGAATATAGCTGAAAATTTCATCATACTTTAGGGGCATGTATACCAACACAATAAAAAAAAATTTTGACAATCAGACACTCCAGACCCGCGAAATTTGATTATTAGTAATTCCGGGTACTTTTTGAACACACCTCGTACATACAAATACATATATATATATATATAAACATACAATATATGTAAACTCGTATATATGTAAAGCAAACAAATTATTTATGAAGATGGATAATACATATAAAATAAAAGTGGACTTACATTACGTTGGTTAGTACATATAGAGAAGTGTACACAGCACTAGAGATTGGCACTAACATTTATGCAACTAACTTGTCAGCACTATGCATGTGTGTACATGGATATATGCATGTATATATATATATATATATATATATATATATATGTATATATATATATGTATATGTGTGTATATGTTGTATGTATATATATGTATATATGCGTAGGTTTATATGAGTGTACTTAAATATTTTTGCCTATACTTTTTAATTATTTATTTAATTCTAGTCTCTACTACCTTTCCTATCTTTTATATTTGGTTTGTTGTTAAGTGTTGCTGTTTGTTAATTTTTCTCTTATTGTATAGTTACTTTACCAATCCACATATATTATAATTACCTAGATATGCTAATTTTCATACTGTTTTTAGATCCACTGATGATGACATTAAATTGAATGTCGAAACGTTTGGAAATAAAGATTATTTTATAAATCTTTGGCTTTTCTTTGTTTGATGTATCGCCCTCAAGAACTCACTCATATATATATATATATTATTTTCATAAGTTTGTGTGTATATGCGTTTGTGTATATAAGTATATGAATATATCTGTAAATAATAACCTTATCCTTCATTTGCACTCTATTATATCTGCCATGAATAAGGCTAATTACATAATTTATTACGGCTAAATTAATTTTTATTGAAGAGAACATTAATTTTATTTAACATCGTGACAAGGAAATATGATATTACAATCTTGTGCATTCAATTGCACCAGTAAATGCACAACAGAACTTTCAAATTATTGCATATCACGACTATTATTTTAAATATAAGTCATAAATCTTGTTAAAAGATTTAATAGAAATATCAATATCCACTCATGTACTTTTTAAAAATAGCATATTTAACCTTTTGCATATTTTTTTTCAATAAGGTGTGAAGTACCACTGAGTCTTATGCAATCTTCTGAAACTTTTTTGGTTACAATTTGTAGTTATAGAAATATAAAAAATAATCTTATCTCCTATAAACCTAACAAAAAATACGAGTACTTGCACTTAATATGGAAATTGATTATACATATGAATATACGGAACCATAAAAAAATCTTGTATTTACCTTAATTGACATCTAGCTAAAACGTCAGCAATTTTCTTTAAAAATTGACTTGAAATATTTTTTTTTTAATTATTATTATTATTTTCTTTTCTTTTTATAGTACTCGAATACGTTGGGCCAAAATGGAGGACATTCGTGGCAAATATGTCAATAGCAATATTTTTCACGATTGCCACATGTATGCTACCCTGGATTGCCTATTATTTAGCCGACTGGAGGATGCTTTGTATCGTCACTTCAGCACCCCTGGCTATTGCCATATTTACGCCATTTGTACTACCAGAATCTGCCAGGTAATAATATTATCTATTTTATTAGTTTAGTGATTTCTTGTCAACTTTTTTTAAACTAGGAGATTTTAAACAGAAGTTCCAACATTGATACCTGTCTCGGGCAGCCTGATGTCAAGCCGTAGTGACTTTTGTCTTCACTAGGAAATATATATCGAATTATGTTTCCAAGTAAACATAGTAAACAAATTGACCCGAACTAAAGAAATTGTATTTAACAAATTGAGATAAGCCTCAAGCAATTTAATTTTACAAATAGAAATCCACTGTGTATTAGTGGTTAGAGCTAGGAGTTTTAAACCAACCGTTGTGATACCTGTTTTCACTAGGAAATATATGTTTCCAAGGAAGGAATTATGTTTCCAAGTAATCATAGTAAACAAATCATCAAAACTAGATAAATTGTACTTAACAAAATGAGATAAATTTTCTAAAAACAAACGTAGTTTAGGGAAACCAATACATTAATTAACATCAATAAAAAATGTCAGAGATATTTAAATTAATACATATTTTATTGTTACATAATAATTTATATTCTAACTTATAATTCTTATCTCAATGCGGTTTAATACATAACGCCAATCTATAGAGTTTTGTTATTATTTGTATTAAAATTTATACAACATTATTAGAAAATAAATAGTTATTATGGTTTTAAATTTCAGATGGTTGGTTTCTCAAGGCAGAGTCACAAAAGCACTCGGAATTATGCAGAAATTTGAAAAAATCAATGGCAAAAAAGTGGACCCACAAATTTATAAAGATTTCAGCGTAAGTATAAAAAACTGAGGAAAGAGTATATTAAAATTAAATGTATATATATATATATATATATATATATGTATATATTGTAATATTTATGAGATGCATATATTGCATTATAAACCAATATGAAAATTGTTAAGAAGTTTCAAAAAAATCTTAAGTCGTCTATTTTTGAGAAAGATTGTTTTTGTAATTCACTAGGTAGGTACCAGAAAATCATTGGTTTATGATTTAGTTTATTCAAAAATATTAATAATATAATTGAACTCATTAATAATTCTATTAATAATTTTTTAATCAAAAGACGTGCAACTTCTAGATGACTACAAGCCGTCTTTCAACCTGTATTTTTTTATAAAATAGTTAATATGGTGATTATTCTCCGATAAAATTAAAATGTTATGTTACGGGTCCATAATCATATAGGCTGGTGGTAGTAGCGAACTGTCAAAAAGCTTAGCACTTGCTGTGGGATCAGTTGTATTACACATAAAACCTAACCTCCAAAAGGCACAAATGTCAAATATCAAAAGTGCAATTTTCAGATGTCACTTTTAATAACACATAAGTAATTAAATAATTATAATGCTTAGACTTTTGTAGGTTAGGTTTTATGTATAAATCTTCTGATCGCACAGCAAATACATAGCTTTTGAACAGTTTGTTACGAGCAACTCATGTGATTATGAACTCGAAACATAGCATTTTCATTTCATCGAAGAATTGGCCCATATATTGAGAAAACTACCTTCTAAGGATCTATCAAATTTAAAAATGTTAAAAGATAACTATTCCCTTACATTTTGATGCAACAATTTGATGCAATTCTACTATGAGTTCCGGATAAATTACAAATTTAAATTTTATTCAAGCAGTTCTTATTTTATTTTAATCAATGCAATAATGTAGGCCTATTTAAATGAAAATGAGATGCAATCTTTGAAAGAATATAATATCACCTAGCAACATGTTATTACTGTCATTACTGTTGACAGCAAGTCTGTAGTGCATTAAATCAAATCACGCATGAAATAACTCGATTAGTATGCGTGTTGCCAGGAATCAGGCAGGCTGGTGCAAAGGTTCTAATGCATAATATAAAATATAGAATATTCTAGAAAAAATGATAATCAGGAGATACTAAAAGCAATTAGATTTGATTCAGATGTCTCGGCTTCGATATTCACTTCGAGCAGCCTGTTGTCAGGCAGCAGTGATAACGATTTTCACTTGGAAATATAAATAGCAATATGTTTCCATGTAAATATAGCTTTTAATCTGGCATTGCTGCACCAATAAAAATGTCAGCCCTATTAGATAAATTCTAATAATAAAAAGATCATCAAATATCGATGCTCACCATTCCAGAATCTTTCTTCCAGCTCTCTGACTAATTCGTGCGTGATCATAATAATAGTAATGCACTACAAACTCCTTAGCAATTATACCACTCTTTTATACACTAATGATCATTAATCATGACATTCCTTTACTAACCATGTGTACTATTGTCAGGGACAAACTATAATTTGACCTAGACTGTTTGACAACATAAAGACAAAGACACTTATTTGTAATGCGTCAACACCCTTAGTCAATTAACAAGTCAAAATAGATATATCATGGAAATAAATTAACATGTGTATAATAAACACATATGTGCAAGTAATAATAAAATCAATCAGAATAAAAAAAAAATTGGAAAATTGATTGGCATAGCTTGAAGAAATTAAATGCTTGATATTAGATCATGTCAAAAATCAATTAACTTATCTTAGGAATACAACCATGCATAAAAATGGAAATGCTATTATAGATTGTGATAAATATTCTATTTATTGACATGCATGCAGACAGTATATATTATATGTTTACTTTTATAATAAAGTTAAAATCTACAAAGTCTGGCGTAACTATTACATGAATCATTAGGCAAATACTGCACAATGTTAGAAAAAATCCCAATTTTGGGTACTTCTTGTGATCCAAATTTTTGCATGTATACGATATACCTATAATATTTATATGATAACACCAGATATTATCTATTTATTTCCACGTTCGCCCGAATTGAAAGTACCAATACCAAGGACATACCATTTGGCAAACGGCAAAGTCACCAGTAACTAATCTTATGACTCAGGCTGATTATGAACTATTGCCTGGTTCATAAATATTGCTAAATCAATAGAGATTGTACAGGACTTTTCAATTTACTTATAATAGATTTATATCTTAGCTTTGTCATAATTTGCAATAACTCGTATAGGAAGAAAAAACAACTAAATGTTTAATTGAAATTGAGATAAATAATTACTTGTGCTGGATTTTATAGATAAAGTTATTGTACGTTTACTTGGATCAGAAGTAATAGATTGCTTAATAAAATTACTGAAGCAAGTTTTTGAAATATGCATTTCGCTTTCAGGATAGTTGTACCAAACTTCAAGCAGAAGAGGATGCTGATAAAAACTACTCAGTCCTCGACTTGTTCCGAAGCCCTCATCTTCGAAAGATGACAATTTTGCTTATTCTAATCTGGATGGCGATATCTTTAGTCTTTGATGGACACGTAAGAAACGTTGGATCTTTAGGACTGGACTTGTTCCTTACATTTACTGTGGCATCAGCAACTGAATTTCCAGCTGATACTTTCCTGACTCTGGTTTTGGACCGATGGGGAAGAAGATGGTTATCATTTTTCACAATGGTTTTTAGTGGATTGTTCAGTTTGGCAGCAGCAGCTGTACCTTCAGGTATGAAACATCATAATAGAATTCCAATTCAAACAATTTTTCTACAAATTATTATTTTATTTATCCAGGTGTTTATTCTGCAAGTTTGGCAATAATAGGAAGATTTTGTGTGAATGTCTCCTACAACATTGGTTTACAATATGCCGCAGAATTATTGCCCACAGTTGTCCGCGCTCAAGGAGTTGCCTTCATCCACATCATGGGTTACGTTGCCAGTATAGTTGCACCATTTGTTGTATACTTGGTAAATATTTTAATTTGTGCAAGAAATTAGTGTGTTAGTACAATCTTGGTATTTACATTTGTTTTCATCAAAGGCTACAATTTCGCAAACCTTGCCTCTGATTATTCTGGGAATTTTGGGAATTATTGGAGGAGCACTATGTCTATTCCTGCCAGAGACTTTAGGTGAAGAGTTGCCTCAAACGCTGAACGATGGAGAAAACTTTGGAAAAGATCAGCAATTTTGGGAGTTTCCATGTATTGGAAAGTAAGACATTTTTCTTCATTTACACCCATAGATTCTTAACATTGCTAAATTTATCCTTTGTGTTTTGTAGGAAAGATATTGCTGAAGACGTAGAAGGACCTCCTATACCATTCAAGCGTTCTGACTTCTCATCTCTTCACCATACCGGCGCGTCCTTGAGGGCGTCAACACGTGGAGAACTCAGCTCCAATTTGCTACACAGATCATCTGTCCGATCTGGAAAGTCTATAAAATCTACCCAATCGGCTATATCTGACGATTCAGGCCACGACAGTTCAAATCCACAGAGCCAAATTGGATTCACCAGAGGCGGCCGAGCATCACTTAGGGCTTCTACCAAAGGCGAAATGCGTTCAAGTCTTCTACAAAGAAGCACTTCAATCAGAAAGTCGATGAAATCTGAGGACAAATGCACTGATCATCCAATCAGTTATCATAGTCACAACATTCCCCATACGATATCGCCTTTGGCAAATGATACACATGCACCTACAAGCACCATTGTTAAACCTTCAGGGTTAGTGTCAGATAAACATATTGAAAGTGGTGCCAAAACGATAAGCGACTTAGTAAAATAAATTAGAACAAATTAATTTTGATACAATTTGTAGTGTGATATTTAGGTTAGTTTAGATTTTTTATTACTTCTGACCACCGCGGTATAATTAAAAATAAAATTATTATATACTATAATATATACTAAAAAACGAAAAAATATGTATGTCTTTAGATCGTAGTATTTATTTGGACATATTTTAATTTAAATTTTAATTTAAATTTGGACGTATTTTAATTTAAATGCTAATAAATAATTTTAGATGCTTATGGCTGGAGACCATCTCTTATCATTAGTAATAAAAGAATAATCAATGTAATTAACCTATAGTTATGCAATCAAATATTTTATATATAATCGTCCATTTGAAAAATTTACGTGAACATATTATTTTAGACAACAGTTTTTCAAACAACTGTGCCCTTACTTTGTTTACATTTTCGTATTCGATTTGAAATTGAAACTGAATTCAAACACAAGTTGATATTAATTTTGTTTTAATTTATGTGCCTTAAATGTCTTGCAAATTTACTTTTATATAAGTTTATTAAAATAAATATCGTATAATATATTATATAAAAATATTTGTATATTGTGATGTAGAAAAATTATTATTATCTAAAAATGTGTACTAAACTAAACTAAGTGTAAGTACAATCGAACATTGAAATGTAAATATGATTACAGATATAAAATAGTTAGTGAAAATATTGATGTGCTGTGTATTGAATTTAAGAATAAAAATCTAATTATTAAAATGTAATAATATACAGTGTTTAAATATTTAAGCTATTAAGAAACATTATTTAGATACTTAGTATAAAAGATACTTAGTATTCTAAAGTAATGTTACTTTGTGTGGAATAAATTTTAGCAAGTCACTTTACCATCAAATCTATAATATTCAAAGCACTCACCCTGCAAATGCAAATTTTCTGGTACATTGTATTTCCAATTATAGATGAGGCTGGTAGATTATCATCCACGGTGAACGAATTGTCCATGTGGTTTTCCGAACATCTACGATATTCTTCAACTGTTAAAAAAATACACAAAAAATCAACCTAAATTTAATAACGCTTACATTTATCTTTAATTAAAACATTCAATAAATTTATGGGATATGAACCTAACCTCCAAAAGCCACATATATCACATAACAATTTTATCAGAAGTGAAACTACTGACACGCGTAAAGTGTAGTTTTTTTGAGGTTAGGTTTTAGAAGTAGTAGATTTTTTTTTTTTTTTTTATTTATTGTTTGAACAGCAATCAGAACTCCTATATGTTCTATAAGCTGTTGGTTAACGACTTAATACTACTTTATTTCTTGAGAGGCAATCCATCGATTAACCATTCTCTTATGTGTGGGATATTTTTGATATTAGCTCTTACGTCTAATAGTTGCATATGATTGAATGTTGCAGCTATGTCCACGAAGGACGATTTCCACTTGGAATTATATTGTGATCTATAATCCCAAGTGGAAATTTGACATCAAAGCTGCCTGATGTCGGGCTACGGCGGTAGCGGGAATCGATCCAGCGAACCTGGAACTAGTGGCTGCTAGTCCACGCTCTAACCGATATCGCCACCGCCGGCCCAGAAGTAGTAGATTGAGAGCAAATACAGTTTTTTTGGCAGTTCGTGACTACCAATCCATACCATCATAGACCCGTAAAACAACATTTCTATTTAATCAGAGATTCAGTCTCTTCTTCGTAGTTAAAAGAGTCAATTTCAAGACCTGCGTGCTATTAGATATTATTTCCCCAAAAGTTCTTGCATCGACCAGTGCCTTGGAGACAATGCAGAAACAAAGACATCGAATTTTTGGAATCATAGATGGGACCCTAAAACCCTTGCGGCAGAATCAGCAGAGAATCAGGTAGTTGCGTCTACACAAATGTAAACATGACAAACATAATAAAAACAACATTGGTAGACAACTTCCAATAGAATTGGATTGTCTTCTTGTAAGATACAAATATATATTTTTGATACCTATAAACATAAACATTTTACATGTATAAAAAAGCTTATGTAATTGGCCTTATGATACTTCTATTTTAGAAAAATATGTGGAATTTAATAAAAAGGGTAAATAGTTTATTCAGTGCATGCATCTCATTTTATCTTAATTGAAAACATTTTATCTTATAAGTTATCTTATTTCGTAATTTTTTGATACAGCATTTATTTTGTAATTTAATTTAAGTAATATTTATAAATAGTTATCAATTAAGTGCATTTGAGATCAACATTCAGAATTACATTTAAATTTTTGAATCATTTTTGGGTTATTTTAGTTAGCTACTTGGATAGTCGTTTTTCCTTAAAATTAATAATTGCAAATTAGTATTTTTAACTTTCCGTAGGGTAAGTTATAGTAATGGGCCAAACATCAAAAATGAAAATTTTTGCATACTTTCACGTTTCAGAGGTTTCTGAACATTTTGGCAAACCTCAGAAAAAATGGATGTGTGTATGTGTGGATGGTTAAAAAAACATTCCATTTCTATTGATAGGGAGATGTGCTAATTTGTTTTTGGCAAAGGCAGGTCCGGAGATACGGAGCAAAGAGTGCAGAAAATATAAATCAAGTCTTTGAGAAATCAGAGTATCCGATTTGAATGATCCAAAAAACATTCGATTTGTAATGATTGGGAGTAGTGGTGAATAGTTTTTGGCAAAGGTAGGTCCAACCATTTCCAAAATACAGAGCTAAATTTACAAAAAGTGGCAGTTTTTGAGAAAACTAAGCATTCGATTTGAATTATTCAAAAAATTTTCTGCTTGTACAAAACAATTGCTTTAAGGCAAAAAAAAATTCTAAAATTATAAAGTTCACTTATATACTTTAAATAAATAATTTCAACTTTGCAATTCAGTTTATATAATTCTTATATATATATTAGACAATGTTACAGTATTTATAATAAACTATTTGAAAACATTTAATATGCCTCGAACATTTCTCTACGTTTCGGGAAGTACCACCAATTTTCCATAAGGCACGATGACATGCACCACTAGTTAATTAATTAATTAGAAACTAAATTTTGATTGCATGTTTTAAATATGGTTTAACTTTTATGTTACCAAGTTAGCATAGCTATTTGTATCACTATACAAGCAAATATTACGATCTATAATTAAGCACTAGCGTTTAATTTTTTATATAATTAAAATTAAATTATACACTAAAATCAAAACAAAATCAACGGAAATTTAAAATGTCAAATCACATTTTACAATTTAACTATTATTTTTTTATGTGAACTAAACTAATTAATTTTTCTATAATTTGACTAGTAATTATGGCTGAAGATGCAAGTAGAGCTGGTCAAAGTATTATTATCAAAAATTATTAAATGAATGGTTTTAATTTTTTTTTGCATTTTTGTTAATTTTTAGGAGCACGAGGTCGCCCAATGGATTTCGACGAACTTCTGCCTCATATTGGACAATTTGGATTTTGCCAAATAATACTTTTCTTCATGATGCTACCATACGGTTTTATACAAGCATACGGTTATTTTTCCATAATGTTTATTGTACCTGTCCCCGATCGACATTGGTGTCGTATACCTGAATTAGGACATCTCACACCAGATGAAAGGTTTTCGAAATGAAACTTGTCTGTTTCTATAAAACTTTAGTTTTTATCAGTAAAACTTCAGTTCTCGTCAGATTTTTGTCTTTGCAGATTGAAATTAGCTATTCCTCGTGATGACTCTGACGTTGTTTTCGAGTACGAAAATTGTTTAAGATATGATGTCAATTTTACAGCAAATGTGGATGAAAATGGAACCATGATCATGACTCCCAATACATCATGGCCAGTGATAGCGTGCAATCATGGGTGGGAGTACGATTTTAGTGATATTACTTATCCATCAGCAGGTGTCGAGGTAATAGGGTTTGTCGGTTTTCAAAAACTGGTTTTAAAATCCGTTTTTTTGGCAAAAATTCTGGAATTCGAAAACCGGTTTTTTAGTGAAAAAAGTCGGTTTTTACTGCATAAATGGAATATGGCAAATATAGCCAAATATGAAAGATAGATGAAAGCGTTTTGATATCTTATCATTCTGCAATGGTTCCCAGAAAGATTATATATATATTAATTTAGATTTTTATACCAGTGTATATATTAATTTAAATCAGTGTGGCTTTTTCTTGAAGAAGTAACTTCCTCTACTCAAAGTTAAAAAAAGATTTTTAAGCCCTACAACCCACAAATAAAAGAACAAAAACTAAGAATTATTATATCAGGATTTAAAAACAATTAAGCATAATTCGGTCGCAAGTATGAGAGTATTTTCTATTTCAGGAAAATTTGTGATCAATATCAATAAGTAGCAATTCGATAGACCTTCTAAGTTTTTTGAAATCATATTTTATTAAACAAAAAAACAATTAGAATGTTCAAAATTAATTAATTAAAATTGCTTAGAACAGACAATACCCAAGTTTAGCTTAATTGTTTTTAAAACTAAAATTGATATTAACAAGTATGTATCAACATGTATCTAACATTTTTTTATTTTTTTTTGTTTAATGAATGCTTTTTATTTAAAATTGAATTATTTTTATTTATTCGAAAACTTTCCTTTCACTATCATAAAAATATTTTCATTCTTTTATGTGAAAATGATGAATAACGAATAATTATTTTCAAAGTTATTTAATCAAGATAAACTATTAATCTTAAGTTCTACTAATTAAAATTAAAATAATTTTGTTTACTATCCATAAAATTGAACATTAAATAAATTCAGTCAAATACTGCTCTAAATCACACTAAATTTACGGATAAATTACAGAATATTCGAGCAAAAATTTACTTTCTATATAAAATTCGAAAACCGACTAAAACATTTTTTAGTAAAATTAAAATTCTAAAACCGGTTTTCTGAAATGTCGGTTTTTGTATAAACCCTAGTAAATAATGAAGATATGATGCATATATACGTGGAAATACATGTATATTGATGAAAATTTTTGACTTAGCAATCGTTTCTTCTGTTTGTTAGATGGAATTGGTTTGTGAAAGAAGCCATTTAGGATCTACTGTACATGCCGTGTACTTTTTGGGATCATCTCTCGGTTGTTTGTTGTTCGGATGGGTTGCAGACAAGTTTGGCAGGGTCATCGCATTGACCATTAGCACCCTGGTCGGATTTGTAGCAAGCTTGTTCACGGCATATGCTCAGGATGCTACGCAATTGATAATTTCTCGGTTCATATGCGGATTTAGCGATACCTGTTTCAATATAATGTATATACTGGGTGAGATTTGATCATTTAAAATTTAAAGTAAAAAATTGATTTGATTCAGTGTCTTATTAATAGAATAATCTCGTTTTTAGTATTGGAATACACCGGACCGAAATGGCGTACTTTTGTAACAAATATGGCACTTGGTGTATTTTTTGCCACAGCCACCTGTTCAATGGCATGGCTTGCCGCCTACATTGACGACTGGCGCAAATTTACTCTTATAACGGCTATGCCAATGGCTTTTGGATTTTTAGTTCCTTTCATTATACCAGAGTCGGCCAGGTAATATAGATCAAAATCTCTAACACAAAAAAATAGTTGAAAGTGACATGTATCCTTAAGGCAAGTTGCACGAATTTCACGAAATGTGTAATAATTGACTTAATCAACTGAATTTGAGATATTTAGATAAAATTTTCAACTATTTATTTGGAAAATAAAGTTATTGCTATCAATTGAATCTAAACATGTAATTATTTTATAGTACACAGACACTTGTATGTCCTAAAATTAGTAGCTCATTATTATTAATTTTAATGAATTGATAATGTTTGACTCGTCACATCACAAAAGCACCTTTTGATACAAATTTTGACTATAATATTTTTTCAAACTTTGATGAATTCTTAAAATTAAACTACTTGTCGTAGACACGTAAAATTTTAGTATGTTGTTTAGGACCATGATATCTATTAACATAAAAAGTTTTATCAAAAAAATTTTTCTACAGTTAGTTACGAAAAAACGGCTCGACCGATCTTTGTCCAAAACTATTCAGCACGATTCCCAAATATCTTTCGAATAGTTTTAAATTTTTAAAATCGGTTCAAAATTTTTGGCTAAAACGTGGATGGAAAATTTTTCACTTTTCTGCTGATTACAAAAAAACGACTCACCCGATTGTATCAAAAATCTAACTGTCAAAAAACACGACCATTTTTTTAAAACTTTGACAAATTTTCAAAGTTAAACGAGCTGTCGTAGGGCCGTAACATGTTAGTATGATCTTGAAGACCATGATATCAATCGCCAAAAAAAATTATGAAAATCCTCTAAAACAATTTTTTCAACAGTTAATTATAAGAACGTGTTCCAGCGAATCTTTATCAAAAACTAACCAGCACGATTCTCAACCTATATTTATCGAACGGTTTTTGAGTTTTTAAAATCAATTTAAAATCAAGTTTGAGGTAACGTCAATTTACGGTGAAAAATCTGTTCACGCACACACACACGTTTTCCAAATTTGGTCTCATTAGATTCAGAATGGCTTGAAACGCCGAGAGAGCATAAAATTAGCGAATCGAATTTTTTGATGAAAACATAATCTTCTCCTTCGGGAAGTTAATAATATTGTTGTGTCCATTACAGATGGCTGTTGTCCCAAGGAAAAGTAAAAAGAGGAATGAAAATAATTCGAAGAATTGCAAGAGTGAATAGAAAAGTGGTTGATGAACGTCTTTACGAAGAGTTCATCGTGTGTATCCAACAAACAATATATTTAAATACCTCACATTATTATTATTATTAAATTTAATTATTGTTTTATACTATGCAAACAATATGTATTTTTCTATTATTAGGCTGGCCAACAAATAGATGAATCGATGCAACGACATAAATACACAATTTTAGATCTATTTCGCGCTCCAGAATTAAGGAAAAATGTATTGCTAATAATAATTGTCTGGATAGGAGTTTCTATAGTTTATGATGGACATGTGAAAAATTTAGAAAATACAGGTTGGAAATATTACCTATCTTTTACTATAGCATCTGCTACGGAATCTCCAGCCGATTTACTTTTAATTGTAACTCTCGACTATTTTGGTAAGAGATGGATGAATTTTGTGACGCTCATGGGTTGCGCTGTATTTGGTTTATTGGCTGCTTGTGTTCCAATTGGTGAGTAAATGATTTATTCATAAAAAAATCAAAATAATGGTCACTTCAGAATAGAAGAATCATGTCATGGATGATGTGTAATACACTTACATTGCAAATTAAATAGCAAATACTATATTTTTCATAAATATAATTTTTTATTCAAAGGGGTGCCCTCGGCAAGTCTGTTCATAATTAGCAGATTCTTCATAAACATAACGTTCAACATCGGTTTACAATATGCCGTTGAGTTGATACCCACTGTAGTCCGAGCCCAAGGGATGACTTTTATTATGGTCATGGGAAGCACCGCCAGTATGGTGACGCCATTCATATCACAATCGGTACTAATAATATTTTTTTTTAAATTTATTGCATTACATTCAAACTTTTGATTATGAGTCCAATTCTGCCGCATAACAGACCAATGTTATGGCAAGACTATGTTATGAAGAACTTTCCATACAAATTTGATCTAAATATTGACAAAAGCCATGCGGTTACTGTGCAGTCAGACGATTATTTCAGGTTGTCAGATAGAAAACATAACCTAGAAACCATAAAAATGTTGAAAAACGATGTTGGATAACCAGGTCTTTCTGACTCAGATTCATAACATACGAGTGACGTTGCAGTTTATGTATAAAACTCCTGAATGCACAGCAAATACATGACATTTCGACAGTATTCAGTATGATTTAGTAGTATAATGTATGGAAGTTGGGGCATTGCATGGCCCTGTCATATATTATGAAGCTGGATCAGAAATACCCTGTTATCTAAGATCGTTTTTTTTACATTTGTGAGGTTTCTAGGTTAGGTTTTCTATCTGACAACCTGAGCAAAAAGCCTGACTGCACACATGGCTCCTGTCAATATTTATAACGAACTTGTATGGAAAGTTCTTCATAACATAGCCTTGCCATAACATTGGTCTGTTATGCAAAAGAATCGGTCTTTTATTTTTGTTTTTTTTTTCATACATGTAGTATAGATTTTAAATATTATCACAATAAGCCACTCAAGACAATGAAATTAATTTAAATTTTACAATATATAATTTTTCTAAATATTTAATAAACACCAGAAGGCGGAACATAATTCATACGTAACTTTTTATTACAAAACTAATGGAAAATTTACAACAATGAAATACTAGCAAGATTTTAAATCCTGTTTTACATGCTTTAGTGATGCAGAAGTATGTTCGGTTAACCATTATTGTAAATTAATTTGAAAATATATTTCAACCGTTATCAAAATTTTTATAAAATATTTTTTGAGAGTTTATGTTTAAACTTACCAATTTTTATCATAAATTTTGATCACGTTTTCTAAATAAGTACACCAATTGAGTTTTTCTTGTCTTAGATTATGTTTGTCCATATTTAGGCTTGATTCGATTTGATTTGAATCATCTTTTGAGTTGATTCGACTTATAATTTAAATCAGATTTTATTCTGGTTTGAATCATTCGATTCAGGAATTTTTTCAGTCGGCACATCACTAAATTTCTACAACATGTCTTCAGTTATAAAATTTGTAAAATTTGCAGGCTGATGTGTTCTTCGCATTGCCTTTGTTTATATTGGGTGGCATAGCAATAACTATTGCATTTTTGTGTTTACTTCTTCCTGAAACTGCAGGAAGAGAATTGCCTCAAACACTTGCCGACGGTGAAACATTCTTCAAAGGTCAGAAGTTTTGGGAATTTCCATGCTTAAAAAGGTAATTTATCTAGGTTAGACTTTAATATTAAAATATTTTTATTTTATTTTTATTATGTGGATGATTTACTCACACAAATTCTCTGCTATTCGTTGAAAATGCTACTGCCACGTTTGTAGTTTCAAAGCAACTACGGACCACATATATAAACCGAATCAAATATATAAACCTTTGATGCTGTACGCATATTTAATGGATTCAAACATGAATTCTTCAATAATAAAATCTTTTTACAGAAATCAAGCTTCCGCAAGTGCCGCCACTTAAAATATCATATCATTTGAATAATGAAATTTTGACATTAAATTTATACGAGATATGGAATTATAAACCAATGAATCGGTAATTATCCATATATCTCATTATAGACTCATTCAAGTGTAATCAATAAATATTTTGATTAAACTAACTAAATATAAATGTATTGTTATTTATTTCTACCAAAAATTTTATGTAATTTTGATTGCTGTTTATTAATTAATAATAAAAAAAAATTCTACCTTACATAGTTACTTGCTATTAATCTTGAAGTTTATTTTTCACAAAAATTATGATTTCACATAAACAGTTGGTCATATTGGCAGACAATTACTGAAACAATTTTACTAATTAATTCCTGAAATTAGGATCTCTGGAGCAATATAAAAAATCTTTGTTTATTCTACTAAACCTGTAAACGTGGTGTTATGGTGTTGGTGTTTATAAAGAACACAGAATTAAAATATGTTAATTAAAAATACATATATTTGCTTTATTTAGTTATATTATATACATGCATATTAATAACAATAAATACATCATTATCATCAAAAAAATGATTCAAATACATCGTTTGCCAAATCATCATATTTCTTTTGCTTATAAATTGGAAAAGCATGGCATCTTCATTAAAACATTATAGGAACATATAAATACCACTTCATTGACTTCTTGTTATTTGTTTTGAATGAAAGAATACTATACACATCGCACCCTTAATTAGAAATAGATTTATTCATTGACTAGTAGTAGGATCGTCATCGTTTTCCGAAACGTCGGTCGTCCGTTTTCCCAAACCGAAATTGAATTCATGTAACCTCTTGTGTCCGTAGTTTTGATTTCTTTTATCTAAATCATCATATGAATCGTACTCGACATCTTCCGCCTGGAAATCGTCGGATCGTTTGCCTAATCCAAATTCATATAATGGCAATCGTTTACCCATTCCAAAGTCGTAACGTGCTGGCAATCTTTTTCCCAAACCAAAGTCGTAGCTGGGAACTCGTTTGCCCAATCCAAATTCATACAATCTCTTCTTACCCAATCCGAACTCGTACTGTTTCCTTTTTCCCAATCCAAAATCGTAACTGGGACTCCTTTTGCCCAATCCGAAATCATAACTCGGCACTCGCTTGCCCAAACCAAAATCGTAACTGGGCGTCCTTTTGCCCAAACCAAAATCGTAACTTGGCGACCTCTTGCCTAAACCAAAATCATAACTCGGCGTCCTTTTGCCTAAACCAAAATCATAACTCGGCGTCCTTTTTCCCAAACCAAAGTCATAACTCGGCATCCTTTTTCCTAGTCCAAAATCGTATCCTGGTACTCGTTTACCTAATCCAAACTCGTACGTCCTCAATCTTTTTCCTAGACCGAAATTATATCCTGGGGTCCTTTTGCCGAGTCCAAATTCGTACATTGGGGATCGCAGTTGGGGTCTATCTGATTTTTTGCCTAAGCCGAAAGCATATTCTCGCATACTTCTTTTACCAAGCCCAAATTCATAAAGATTTCTGGTGCGTTTGCCCAAGCCAAAATTGAACATCTCGCGGGCTCTTTTGCCGCCATCCAATGGCGTTTGTCGATTATGGTCAGCTGAAAAAGTAATAGAAATATTTGATAATAATAACAATATTAATATTAATACTAATAATAATAAGTCGCAGCAAGAGATTCAAACACTTTGTATGAAATTGGATTTTATTCTAATTGTGTACCTAAGTACCATGAGATGCGGAATCAGAGATATGAATATGAATTCCGTAACACCATCAGATGCTTTTTATGAAACAAATTATTTTTAGTCGCAATTCATACCAAAATATATGATTACCATTTTCATCACGTTCTCATCACGTCAGAAACTAATTATGTTGACGCCCTACGTAATAGTCTTTTTATTATCAATGATAACAGTCAATGAATACTAAATGACCAAGTTTTTGTCTGCCAATGAATTAGAGCTTTATATTTCCTTGGCTTTCTTTTATTCAAGGAAAAAATAACTTTATTTCTTTTGAATACCATTAGCAGAGAAATAAAAATTAGGACAATATTATCTCAATCTCATATAAACTTATGTTTGAAAAGCAGACAGTAAATAAAAATGTAAATTATTACAACATAATTTCGGATTCGCATTTTCTCATAAGTTCTCATCTCAACTCTTGCCTTTAGACAGTCTCTAGTTTTTTCTATGAATATTATTATGAAATATTCTTTTTTCAGAAAATTCATCTAATTTTCCAGCATGCAAATCAACTTTCTCTTTACAGGCTGGACGGTTGCCGTAGTAACCTGTAAAAACTTTAGAAACTTTTCGGTAAAACATTTTCTCAGGAATGTTTTTGTTTGATATTCTTTGAAGGATGATGGTAACTTGGTTATATTTTAAACAGACGCATCAATCAATTCGGGGATGCACTTTAAAATAATGTAATAAAAAAGGAAAATTGATTTAGTTGTGCTATATAACTTTTTTGGAGTTTAAAATATTTTTTCATATTTTTATATTATTTCGGGCTTCAAATGACTTTGTGCTATTTCTAAGCATTTTTATTAGACACATTAAGAAAATTAGCAGTGTATTCTTTTTTAAGTACACTTACAATAGCTTTTTTATATATGAATTGTTCTTCACATGCCTTCATTCTTCTTATTTTATAAATCTTATCTTCTAACTTTAAAACTTGTTGCTTTCAAACTTCTAACTATATTCTTATATATTCTATATATATTCTTATTATTTTATGGCTGCCTTTTAGCAATTATTATCAATTCAATTATCCACGATAATTTTTTTTTTTTTAAATATTTTTTTTTTTTTTTTGAACAGTAATCAAAACTTAATAACCCAATAAGCTGCTGTGCTAATTTGACTAAAATTTCATTATTATTATTATCACATCATTTCCATATAAATATTTCAATTCCTTCAACCATACCACTTTCTGTTTATGTATTCGAATAAAAGTTCTCAGAGGAAGAAAACTCTGGGTCTTTATTGCTGATTATACAGAACAAGAATTAATAAACAGAAAACAAAACAGTAGATACTTTGACCTTTTGCCGTTTTCGCGAACATTTGGCAGTTCAAATATTTGATGGGAATTACGGTTTATTTAGCAGAGTTAAAGATAGAGGATACTTGGGTACTTTTGATAATGGTTATACTATTTTATAGTCTATTTCACCTTTTTTAGTGCCCTATTTGTGGTACATTTGTAAGATTGAATCAAACTTGTAAAATATTCTAAGAAATAGTAGTTTTTTTTTTCAAATGAACTATATGTTTTATTAAATTTAATGAGATAATAAAAAATAATTATTGATTAGTGGTTCATAAGATAATAGTGCAATCACAAAATGCATTTGTTTTAGGTTTCAAGTTTCAAGAGTTCTTAAAATTACAGCTACTAATGTGTATTATAAAAATATTAAATATTTTTTGCAATTTTTAAGACTGTTATTATTAAGTGGTTTTGCGTATTTCCAAAGCATACTGATTTCATGTGAAAAAGAATTGTTTGTAACTCAGGGGGCAATACTTCGATAAAATAGACCGTAACATAGCATTGCTATGGCAACGAGCTATTTTACCAGACAATTGGCCCGTTGAGTGACTAATAAAATATTATTCATTTAAATTTTAAATTTTTGTCATTCACAAAAATATTAAAATTTACAATACACAAGAAAATAGTACAAAACTTCCAACAGTGTTTGCAAAAAATAGAAGAATCTAAATTTGAAAAATTTCAAGAATTTCAATTTTGAAGAATTCTAAATTTCTTTCTATGAAATTATATTTATTAATATTTTTGTCTATTATTATTATGTAGACTCTACGTATTTTCCAACAAAAATCAATAATTTTGTTAATCATTCAAATCGGTTCAGTCGTACTTCCGGACAAGTGATAGACCTTATAATATTATATAGTTACGTCCACAAAGTACAAAGTTAGTTAAAATTAATTAATTTAATCAAATTATTAATTAAAAAATGTCATCGTTCAAAAGATGTTGAATAGAGTCGTCATGCTGTCTTTGATCTTATATATCTATTTACCCATTTCTCCTCTATATACTAAATAGAACCAAATTTCAACGCAAGTCGATAACCCTCTGAATCACTCAAATCGGTTGAATAGTTCTTGGAAGGAACTTCACCGTTCTGTCTTGGCTCTATCATCCATGTACCTATTTACCCTTTCCTCCTGTATTTAGTAAATGGTAACAATTTCTAACATTTATCTGCGTTAGCGGTTCAAGAGATTACATCTTCTCGCATGTTATTTAACTACAATTTCAGTTGCCTGAGCACGTCTTAATGTTCTTAGGATCGTAACACTCAGCAGAGGAGTTTTCACTTATGAACCTCTGTATATATATATATATATATATATATATATATATGTATGTATATATATATAATGAAAATGCTGGAAAATAGAAGGTGGAAGCTATTCAGATTAAGTCAAGTACGCTTATTTGATTCACTCTGAATATATCTATCGGCCTGAAATTCTCTTGTAGAATTTAATATCACTTCGAAGGAAAACGATAGTACTCATTTAGGCAATAATAGTAACGATATCGTAAAATCAACTACATTAAATTTAAATATATTTAAATCTTTATAACAGTCCCCTCGTAGTATAATTTAACATATTAACATAATGTATTTTTGCAACGTTTTATCAAATTTTAATAAGGACCTATTAAAAAATGAAACAAAGACATAGTAAGGTTTATTGTTTTCCATTACTATCTTTAAAGAAATTTTTAATTTTAAAATTTTTCATATATCAGTATATTTTATTCGAAAAATTTATTGAAATTTTGATAAAAAACTTCAAATAATTAGAATCCCAATAACTAAAAAGAGGTCAAGCACTAATTAAAATTATTGAAATTAAAAAAAAATCCTTCAAGTAATAAGTATAACAAAATAGTGGAAGTTCAGTTATTTGTGGTAATGAAATAGTAAAATTTGTCATATATTCACCATATTGTATTAAAATAAATTTATTGAAATTCTTTGGGCAATAATGAGTAACAATAATTAAATAACAATTCAAGGTATAATCAAAATACTGGAGTTTCAATTTTTTGTAGTAATAAACTAATAAAATTTATCATATATAAGCATATAGTTCTAAAATAAATATACTCTTGAATAAAATACTGCTTTAAGCAATAAAAGTAAAAAAAATAAAAGTTTTAGTTGCTATTTTTTTTATTTATTATTTAGTTGAAAAATCCCACTTTTAACTATTTTTTTTTTTTCTTCAGATTATTTGGATGCTGAAATCAAGGATATGGTCGGGTGCCATTTTTTTATTTTTTTTATTTGACTAGATTCTCGGAACTATAATTAATAACTTGTAAAAAAAGCAACATTGTCAGCCGTTTTTACGGGTTTTCAAAAATTGCATGAAATGTATATGTATCTAGACGGAAATAACCCATTAATCCAATTATTTCCATTTTTAGTGCCAGTGACTTCCAATTTTGTTTTGCACCGCGCCTCCCTGCTCTAATAAAAAAATTGTCTGACCCTTTATAGTATTTTAATAATTTAATTTTATAAATATTCACCTGATATTATCAGACTATAAACTAATATGCATTATTATGTAAAAATATGCATAAAGGCAAATTATTTTTTGTTTATTTTTTAATATCATTTTGAAAGTTTTCCAAGCCTACAAGTTAGAAACCGCAGCCTCAAGCTTTTTTGTAACTATTGCCTTTGTCTCTCATTAAATTTACTTTCCAAAAATTATAGATTATTTCGATAGAAACTATCATCGTAGCCGACTATTAAAAAATCACTATATCAATATTCAATTGCAAAATTACAAACCCCAGTCCTCCAAATGATAAAAATATCATACTCACATTTGATCGTGTCGTAATTGTAATATTCGTTAATGGGTCCCATATCTTCTTCATCATTATCAAATCCATCTTCGTCATAGTGATAAATATTATCGTAATCGCTAAAATCTTCATAATGGTGTCCTGTAACGTCGTTCGATCTGTCACCTTCGGCCGCCAAGGGGGCCCTTTTACCCAAGCCGAAATTATAGACTGGTAGGCGCTTGAATTCGGTCCTGACAGTATTGGGCAGGCTCGGTTGCTAAATAGAAATATTTGAATTATAAACAAATAATTTTACTTATTATTATAAATATTTCTCAAAACATTTATCATTCATAGTATTTAGTGAGGAAGCAAGGGGCTTATTGTAACAGGGGCAAGTATAACATGGGTTTTTCAATTCAACGATATTAAAATATTGTCAGTCATAGCTACTGCCTGACAAAATATACAGAACTGTGCAAGTCCGTCATTTTTTGTCATGTAATATATATAATTGTATTATCATGAAATTTCGGTTTGCGTTATTATTATCGACTTTTTAATTTTATATATCTTATTTCGTTTCAAATTTATCATAACGAGCAACAATTTTTGAAATTGCTAAATTATTTAAATAATAGTCTTGGTTAATGTTAACATGGGGTTAGTTCAAACAAAACTTTGGAGTTGGAGTTATAAAAGGAGTTATTATAACATTTTGGAGTTATTATATTTGTGTATGTTATAACAGACACAAATTTTATACAATTTCAAATAAAAATATTAGGTATAATGTATAGTTCAGATTTCTATCTATTTCTATCTCTGCGATGGTCATATGCAAATTATGTTACGGAAGAAACTATATATTTTAAATGTATAAGTCATAGTTGATTTATGTAATGAATTACTTATAAGAGAATTACTTATTAGAGGCAAGTCTATTTTTTCAAAGTAAAATGTAAATTATCATTAATATTATTGTCTATTTTTTAACATTACTACTTGCCCCAACAGATGTTAAAACTAGCCCCATATACGGGGTAAGTTGTAACGCGGCACTTTTTCTAGAAAATTATTAATTATGAAAAAATGAACAATTGTCATGAAATTATTTCTACTCAATTTAGTAGAGGAATAGTCACAGCATCTATCTATCTCTATTTCGTAGTAAGATTCCATAAGAAATGTACAAAGATATGTATCTCGAGATATACTAATACTAATATGCTAATTTAAAACAAAAACTGTACTAATATACTAATTTAAAACAAAAACTGTTACCACAGGCTCCTAGCTTTCCTAATTTATAATTTTTTTTTAAATTTGTTAATTTGGCTTTGACTTGAAATTTAAAATTTTATACTATTAGTATAAAACATTATAGTACGAGTATGCATTAAAATTCAGTGAAAAATTATGGAAAGACTACCATTAATATCAGAATTATTTGAAACACTTATTTTAATTTACAGTAATACTTTTATAATACTAACAATGCATATTCATTAAAAATGTGTTTAAAATCATGCTGAGATTAAATAATATTTAACAAAAATAATTGAATATTTACATTCATGTAAATACAATATAGTTATGGTTTTAAATAGTATAAATATAATATATATATATCTAATATGTATATCATTATTATTATGTATATTAATTTATTTAAATTAAATTTATTTATTTATTATTTTGAATTTACATTCAAAAAGACCGCCAAATAGTTGTCGCCATCTTGTCGCTATATCTAACTTCACAGCTGTTTTCATAAAAGTGACGTTTGGTAATTATTCATAACATAATTTTATAATAAGTTTTGTGATTTATCTTTTCAATATTAGATTTCTTATTTCTATAGTTTTAATTTCAAACTTTGTTTATACAAGTAAGCAAATAATAAATTGCAGTTCAGGAAGTAAACAAGAAAATACAAATATACTGGTAACTTAAAATTAAGTTTACAACGAATCTTTTACTCGATTCCAATGAAAATGTACAACTAGACTTTGAAAATATAAACAAGTGTATGTATTGTGGAAATAGTAAAAATGCGCAATAAAAATTTATGAACTGAAAATGTGCATTGAAAATATGTAGACCAAACATCAGTAGTGAAAATTTAGTAAAGAAATGCTAGATGAACGGGTAACATATTTCATAAGACAATAGAGTTATTTTTGCAATATACTTTACAAGTGTACGAAGTTTTTTACGTAAGTAATGAGATTTGTTTATAGGTAAACGTTATATATTTTTGATATATCATAGGCATAAGATAAACGGTTGAATTATAAAGAAAACAGCTTAATATAGAATCGCACCGCGCACTTAAACGATTCTAATAAGAATCTATGCCCGTCGTGCACAGATCACATTTGATGTTTAAAGTCAGCCCCTCTTAAATAAAATCCATTTTTATAACACAAAATGTATGGATAAAATGCATTAAAAAAAACAATTTATTTTTATACAATTACAGATATGTATAAGTACTTTTGAATGACATGAATTGGATTATGTAGAATTGATTATGTTTAGTGAAGGCAAAATCCTTATTAACTTCCCGTAGGGTAAGTTATTGCAATCGTCCAAAAATAGAAATTGAAAATTTTTGCATTTCTCCACGTTTTGAAGGTTTCTGAACATTTTGGCATGCTTCAGAAAAAATTGATGTGTGTGTATGTATGGATACAATTTTCCAGTCACGTTTTCGAGCGCACGGATCAACCGATTTGAATGGTTCAAATAATATTCGATTCCTATCGATAGGGACATGTGCTGATTAGTTTTTGGCAAAGGCAGGTCCAGCAGTAACGGAGATAAAGAGCTAAGTGTGCAGAAAACGGAAATCGAGTCTTTGAGAAAACGGAGCATCCGATTTAAATGATACAAAAAACATTCAATTAATAATGATTGGGAGAAAGTCGTTATTAGTTTTTGGCAGAGGCAGTCTCAGCCATTTCGAAGATACAAAGCTAAATGTGCAAAAAATGGCAGTTTTTGAGAGAACTAAGCTTCCGATTTAAATGATTCAAAGAACTTTTCACTTGATTTAAGAAAATAATTGATTTTGAAAAAAAAATCTTTCAAATTTTTTTAAAAAAAAAAATTTTTTTTTTTGTATATTGAAAATAATTCAGATTACATTTTCAATTCTGTCTCTAGTTCTAATATACTTTAAACAAATAATTTCAACTTTGCAATTCAGTTTATATAATTCTTATATTTCTTACAATGCTAGACAATGTTACAATATTTATAATAATCTATCTGAAAACATCCATATTTCTCGAACATTTCGTTACGATAAGGGAAGTTCCAGAAATTTGCTTTAAGGCACGATGCCATACACCCCAGTAGTTTTTCAAAATGATTTGTTAAACATTTTACCTAAATTGCTAGATTTCAATTTTTCTTATTGATTAAGTTGATTTTGTTCACGCAACTTTCCTTAAGTCAAAATGCTATTTACAACTAGTTTTCAAAATCATTTATTTAAAAGGAATGATATAAGGTAATATCATTTAATTATAAAAGATTAGGGCAAGACGTCTCTTTGGCATTTGGGGATACTATCGATCGATCAATTCGTTTTACAGAAGCTTAACCGATATTAATTTCGATTGACATTCAATAGTATCAATCTAATATTTATTAATATAATAGTATTAATTTTTTAGCACTATTATATTTTAACATCATAATCTTTTTACCGCCTGTCTTTTCGCCACGTGCAAGAGCTCGTCGGCGTCATTTTCTTCCCGCGATTCCGTCGGCTTTCTGTCTACGGCGACTAAGAGGTCATCGGCGGCCACAGGTGCCGACTCATTTTCAGCGGCAGTTTCTGTCGTAAGTGCAGCATAGAGCAGCAAAAACGATGCTAGAAGTCGCATTTTTGCACTGCTCCTAGAAATAATAGAAATAATTACTAATTACTAATTACATAAAATTTGTAGGTTTCTAGTGGTTTATGAGCGAAGGTGTTACTTGTTCAGAAAATCCGTTTTGTACTTTAATGCTATTATTCCAAGATATGGTTTCAATTTTGAAATTAATGTTATGTAAGCTTTTAGCAATACATGTTATGTAACCCCACGCAAGATCGTATAAATGGGAAATTGTATCTTTAGTTAGTAAACATGGCTGAAACAGTAAATTAACTTGGAAGGATTTGGATTCAATAGTTACATGTGATGTGGATTTCGTAGTAAAATTTAGTTGTTTTACGTTAAACTATTAAAAGATTTAATCATTTAAAATATATAAAATATTATGTAGAAATAAAATAACTACATTGAATTAACAGGATATTCTGGGGTAGAGCCATGAAATTTGAGCAATGCTTGAAATGCAGACAAAAAGGCAAACAGAATTTTTATTATATTTTTTTCTATAAGTTTAATTAATGATTTTTGAATAAGAATAAATAAAAATTAATATCAGCCATAAAGTTTTAATTCAAGGCAATGAACTGGGGAATCTCAAAAAATTGGAACCTTACTATACCCCTGATTATAGCCAAATAATCTCAAGAAGAAAAAAGATATATTTTCCATCTAGAATAATGTCGTAATTAAACGAACTACAGACAAGCTAATATAATATAATTTTACAAAGTAGCGACTGTCTGAAAAAACAACATTTTTTTTTTTGATATTCTTGAATTTTTTAAAAATACTAAAAATCGGAATTTAAGGATGGAAGTAGTTCATCACACTGTAGAAATTACAAGAAGATCGAATCAGTAAAAGTTGAGAAATCGTGGGTATTGTATTAAAAAAGAGAGTTTCGAAGAAAACAGACCATTATTGTGGTAAGCCCCTAAAATTTTGAAAATAATTTAAATTTTAATCAATTCAAGAATACTTACCGTACATATAACCATATCCAATAAAGAAGAAATTGTTGTTTTTTTTATTCTAGATCAGAATACTCCCTTAAATATAAAATTTGAATTTGTTCATCAATGTCGAAACAAATAGAAGTTATATACTTAAAGGTTAATTTTAATGTGAAAAAATCATAGTCCATAATCATAGTAATCTTTATAATGGGTAGTACTGCCCAAGGCAGGTCCAGAACTGAGATAAACTACTATTCGATTTAGGGAAAAATTGTGTGAGATTTTTTTCTGACACCTCAGTGCCTGACATGGGTTATTTTTTATTGAAAACATATTTTTGATCTTTATTTTTGAGCGAAAATTGATAGGACTATTGATATCAGGTTGTTCAGGGCGAGAGTTTGAACAAGTGACAATGTCTACATGAGACAGCGCGTTTAACCGTTACGCCATTGGAACACCCTTTATGAAAATATGAAAAAAGTTTCTTAAAAGTTAAAAGTATTTAATAATTATCTAGTCACCAGAAGTACCTTATTGATGTGTTAAAACAAATTTAACTTCAAGAAATTATAAGATATTATCTGAAGTATACAGCATAGTTCTAAAACATTTTGCATTTGATACAAAATATTTCTTCTTATTTCAGCCATTCTTTCAATCACTGAATAATCATTTCCATTTGATCTGGTTTCTCGTATTTGAATTACATGGTTGGCTTTGCTTTTCCAAATTGTAGCTATTATAAAGGCAATAGGGCGTTTCACAAGGAATCGAACCAGAATCGTTTTTCTTTGAATTTTTATAAGAAATTCCGTTGTGTCAAATCTTCCGTTTTTTCGTAGGCGGTGTAATATAAAAGTCGTTCACAGTTCTACTTATGCCCAGAGCTGTATGTAAAGTAGTGAAAATTTCTATTCGTTCTAAAACAGGGGTAAAAAAGGGTAATATATATAAATATAACAGATATATATATATATATATATATATATATATATATATATATATATATTTATATTATTCATGTCACTGAAATTTCTTGTATTTTTCGTTACATTAAATAAAAATATTTTTAGTTTTGCATGTGTAATATGAAGTTGGCCAGGTGTCCTAGTCAAAAACCTGATGTTCTGTCAATGTGTCTGATGTTCTAGATGAATTCTGAGATTTATTCATTTTATCTTTGTATTTTGCACACAATTTAATAAATAATCAGCGTTATTTAAAATAGTACGTATCGATTCTACTGGAAACAAGTAACATGGTTCGTATACTCTGCAACGACAATAATTGGGAATATATGAATAATTAGAAAAAATATCTATTTAGTACAAGCTCTACCTAATCACGCTTTGCTATGTTATGCCCATTAATAAAAATGTACACAAAAATTCGATTCTGTTACATCTAGTTAAGATGGAAAATAGCGCTGATTGATTGTTAAGCTGTATTAGATGCATCTTCGAGTGAAGTATCCCATTCAGCATCCCTATAGATATAATATAGGCTTATAAGCATATCAGCAGAAATTAAATTGTATAAACCCAATAGCATATATACATCACAGCATTTAACACACGAAAACCTGTCCGGAGATATACTTAATTTTTTTCCAAATTTTCACGTTGAACGGATGTATGGTTTTTACAAAATGGTGTAAATACTATAATAATTTTTGCACAATAGGAGTTTGTAGTAGGAGGTTGAAAAATTAGGGTTATGTGTGTTTTCAATATATGTTTTATAAAAAAATACAAGAATTAAAAAATAAAAAATTGACTGAAAAAATAAAAAAAGTCTTCAGAGCGGCCAATCTCTACCACTTGGTTTTCGTCAAAATATCCGAAAACCTGTGCGTGAATATATCTAGCAGTTTCCCAAATTTTCACGGCTATCGGGCGTATGAAATAAATAAAAAAAGGTTTTCTTCGAACAACGATTTTAACCCTTTCCACTCGCGAATACCGAGATTTATATGAATTTTGCCGCCGGAGCGGCGGATTCCGAGTGGAAAGAGTTAATATATATAACCACATTTTTTTGTTTATTTTTTTTATTGCAGTAATGTAATTTGAGTTTAATATGTGGTTTGCGTGGTTTTATGTTTAAGCTAAATGTTTTAAATTTTTTGTTTAATTGTTTGTTTTTTGAATTGCTACTCAATTTGATAATTATACTTAATTCAATTATTTTATAAAATAATATGTATGATTATAATTATAATTATTCAATATATAAATAAATTATTATTATTTTATAATTATATATCTTTGAATAGCACTTATCACTTTTATAAAAAACAAGTTCCATAAATTATATATTCCAGTAAGTCAGAATGGAAAAAAATACTTTTAATAAAATCAATTACAGATTGTCGTATTTTATTTAGTAACATTTACATATATCATTTATATAATAAGTCGAGTAATTTGAAATTATCGAGAATGTAGTATCATTAAAATAAATTGTTTAGAAATAAAATATCATATTTACTATTTGAATAAGAAATTGGGTGATCAAAAATTATCTAAAGTTGCACATATTAGCGTTTAAATGTCACTATGATATTGATATAATAATATAATGCGTACTCAATTAAGAGTTTTAACTATAATGGTAAATATTTCTAACAAAGTACCAGTTCAAGGTTATTTTTTGTAATTTTTGTACAAAATGTGTATATTTTATTTTGAATTTTTTATTTTTCATTTGTTAAATAATGTAGCTATTATTTCATAAAATCTCTTGATAATTAGGAATGATTATTGAATCTGTTTCCTCTCTGACTGTCCTTGTTCAAAATTAGAAAAATAGTAAAAAATATATTTTTCTATACTTAGGAGTTTTACTGAACATAGTTCAATAGTTGTTTATATGATACGTGTTTTTGTTTAGGATTTAGTTGGTTTGAACAGTATAATTAAAGTCAAATTGGACCTTTGTAATGAAAAAATAATAATACTTATCCGATCAGCACAACTGGAGATAATTAATTTAGTTCAGATGATGTTCATAGAAATTGAGCAATAAATCCATGTTTCAATAGTAAATATTTACACTAAAGTTTTTTTTTCAGCAAAATCCTGAAATACGTGTCAAATGATTTTATGTGTAATATCTGTAAAAAAATTCAGGCAATTCTACAATGTCAAGGCCTGGATGGTGTACGGTTTGTAAAAGAATGACCCATAAGTATTAGAAGGTTATACTAGTTATGTAGTACCATATACAATTTATTTCTGTCGTCTCTGAATTTTCATTTTATATTTTTTTATTTAAATCCTTTCCCAACCCTGTTTTAAAACAACATCCATAAGCTTTGTTACTAGTCCACCACGTGGCCTAATATCCTTGTACAGATGTCACAGAAAACGTGTTTTGCATACAACACTTTGGAAAAAAGCTTATTTCTCGCCATTTGTAAAGTTTACCGATACGCAAATACAAATACCAAACACATATAGAATGAACAACTTGTACAGAATAATAAGAAATTGCACAGTAGAAAAATCGATATCTATGGAAAATGCATTCTTGATATTCGCCCATGAGAAGGAAATTGATAGTATCAATTGGGTGAAACCAGGAAATAAAATGAGATTTCAAAGATCTACCAGGTTCATAATTAATCCTAAGCCCTTGTCTCATAAAGGACGTTCACTTCAAATTAATTCACTTTGTTCAAAACTTTTAATTAAAACAAGTTTTAATACCTGTTGCTTGTAATGAGAATACAATTCAAGTGTATCGGTTTCCTTTTGACTTCCCAGATTTTATATTTGGTAAAACTTTGTTCAGATTAAAGGTCATTATTAATAACAAGAAAGGAGTTATGAGATTTTATGCGTAGAATAAAATTAAATAAATTAAAAGTAAAAATGAGCTCATTACTTCAAAAACAAGTTGAAGGCTGCGACATAGTTTCTGTAGAAGTTTGTTTGAATTTTCTATTTTCATTACTGCTCAGAAGGTTATAGAAGATAAATAATTTCTCGTAAGATTTTTTCCAAGATCAAAGTGTGAAAATTATTTTTCATAATTAAGGCAACTACTTTTCTTATTA